TCTTTAAGAAAGGAAAAAATAAAACTGACTCATATATTCATATGGTGCACTAGACACCCCAGGTATATAAATTTGATAATTATATTGTCCAATACAGTGTCAATGCCAGCATTATTCTATATGATTTTATCCTTGAAAAATTGTGCAAATTTCTCATAACTGTATCGGTATGCTGCCTGAGGCCATCAAGCCTTGTTCTTTACTCACTATGGAAAGTTACCACTTCTTTGCATCTGTGATTGCAATCAATTATCAATTATAACCATTCCTTATACCATGGTAAAGGTCAACCAAAAAAGACTCTTTTGAGGATCTTACAACTCAGATGGATCATAAAGGAGAATATAACCTTTCAAATGGTATGTTCCAAAGTCAAACAGGTATTTAAAAATCATAATGAATGCTACAAACTATGGAGTAGAGCAAACCAGTAGCCAATTAAGATGTTGAAATAATCGAAGTACATGAATTATTTTTAAGAATAGCTCCAAATAGTACTAATACTATTATAGCTACAATTTCCTTATCAGACTTCTCCTTATAAAGTTTAGACATATTGATTGTTAGGATTATTTATTGATTTTATTTATATCTTGCCTTTATTGTTTTTATAAATAACTAATAAACTGGAATATGTAGAACTTTACAAGAACATAAGAAAATATATCCACAAAGAAACACATCAGTTTAACATGAAGCTTGTGAAAAAAGCAATTGAAGAAAACAAAGGGATTAATAGAGCAAAATGCAAGCTTATAAAATACAAAAAAAGTTTTTCATTAAAACATGAAGATGGCTCTGCGTAGGACAAGACAGGAAATGTTAGAAATAATTGTAAAATTCTATTGAGAGCTATACAAGGATCAACATCATTCAAAAGTAACAACACCCACAAAAGAGGAAATGCCAAATATTCTAGTACGGGAAGTATCAAGTGCCATAAAATCAATGAAAAATGGCAAAGCTTCAGGAAATGACTGTGTTACAGTTGAAGTGTTGAGTCTTGTGGTCGTAATTTATACAAGATGCTGGCAAAATTATACTTGATGCCTCAAAGAAGAAAAAATACCCAATGCATGGAAAAATGCTGAAATGATTCCTATGCACAACAAAGGGACCCAAGATTATTTAAATAATTATTGCCCAATAAGCCTTCTTTCAGTTATCTACATGGTTTTCACTAAAATAATAACAAAGTGTATTGAGAATATTAAATGATGCATAGCCAAAGAAGCAGGCAGGGTTCAGAAGTAGTTACAGCACAATGGATCAATGGATTGTTCAGCAAGTCACTGGAAGACACAATGAGTATACCATGCCTCCATGCATAGCTTTCATTTACTATGAAAAGGCATTTGAGTCAGTATTCCAGCAAGCAATAATCAATGCATTGCTCAACCAAGGCATAGACACTGCTTACATAAACTTACTACAATCAATATATGAAAAAACAATAGTGACAATTTGCTTTAATTATCTTAAAGTGGAAATCAACATACAACAAGGTGTATGAAAAGGTGATACAATTATCACTTATCCTTTTCTCAGTTTGCGTTGAAGATGTGTTTTGCAAACTAGACTGGGCAAAAGATGGAATAAAAATCAATGGCACCTATTTGAATCACTTAAGATTTGTAGGTGGCATTCTCTTCTCACATGACCCAGAAGAGCTACGAAGACACATATAAGAGCTGCACAAAGCAGGAGAACAATTTGGCTTAAAAATAAACCTGAAAAAGAGCTAGGTTATATTTAATAAATTCACCAAATAAATATTTTCTTAATATCTGGAGAAGAACTAGATGCAATAGACCAGTACATAGACCTCGGCCAACAGATCTCAATGTAAGGTGATACAAAAAAGGAAATTGAACAGCATGTTAAATGTGGTTAGAAGAGATTTGGCAAGTTAAGAGTAATTTTCAAGAACCTCCCCCTATTCCTGGAGAAAAACATTTTCGATCAGTGTGTGCTGCCTACTCTAACACATGCCAGTGAAACATGGACACTAACCTCACAAAGAAAAGCTACGAGTGGTACAAAGAGCCATGGAAAGATACATACTCGGCATCAGAAGACAAGATAGGAAGACCTGTACATGAATTAGAAAACAAAGGAAATATACAGTGTCATTAAAAGAGTAAAAGAATTGAAATGGAAATGGGGCTGGTTACATAGCAAGAAGAACTGATGGCAGGTGGACTAAAGCAATCATAGAATGCATTCCACTTGGTAAAAAGTGTCCACAAGAGACCTAAACAAGATGGAGTGATGACATCAGCAACTATTGTGGGCCCAACTGGCAAAAGAAAGCTCAAAAATGTATTGGTTGGAAACATATAGAAGAGGTCTTCATCCTGCAATGGATAGACAATGGTTAGAATGGTGATGATAAATAAGTCAAGGTAACAAATATACTTAATACTCCTTCCTCCTCCTATTTTCCTATAACAACCCTGTGAGGTGAATCGAATTGAGAGTGTGGGATTGGCACAAAGTCACCCAGCTGGCTCATACCTAAAGTAGAAACAAAACTCCAGTCTCCTAGTCTGGCGCCACTGAACCTATCAGAAAATAATCCAGATCCATCGATATCCTGGGGCTAATCATTAATTCTGTTGTTATACCAGCCACCAGGTTCCCCCAGATGGAGTACATCTGAACCCCAATAAGTCTAAAATGTACCAAATATCTGTCTTTCCATGGCAATAGAATTATAGAAGTTTTTTCCAGGATTTGCTCACCATTATCCCATCTAACACAAAAATATTAATAAAAATCTAGTCTGAGTTTTTGAAGCTAAATAATAATTAGAACAGGATTATCATGAAGTCCCAAATCAGTATTAACAAGATCACCTCAACAGGATCTCTCCAAGCAAGATAAAGTGATTTAAGCTATCATTTAGCTTAGTTCAAAACATGAGGCAAGTGTGTACCAACTAAGTTCCATTTTGTCTTGAATATTCAGTTTCAAGTGCCCATATTCAAAACATTTTTTCCTCTCAGTTCTAGTTACCAAATGCTTATTTAAAAGCCTGAGGTTAAAAAAGATAGGCGATGTATCTTCTTGCCTTGGTTTTTATGAAAGAAATCATGTCAACAGGCTCATGCAGCATTCAGAGGAATGAATGGGGAAAATCTGCTGGTGGGATCCAGCAACAGAACCTTTAAGGCAAAGAAGCATTTTCCAAACTGGGCAATAGCTTATAATATTTTATTTTCCTAGCTGCCTACCTATCATCATCAGCTTTTCTGCTGTCTACTAAAACAGTGATCCCTTTTACTAACCAGTTGCCTTTTAATATATATTTTATTTTTGCATTTCAGATTCCATTTTTATGCTACTGCATTTACATGATTTTACACACTAATTTCAGTCTTGTTTTACTGTTTTCTGGCTTTATGTTTTGTCTAGTCGTGCTTTACGGATAACATTGTCCTTATTGGATTGGCTACAGACTTTGTTACATATGGTTTTGTGCTTGTAATAAAACATCTTTCCATCCATCCATCCATCCATCCATCCAATCAATCAATCAAATCTTGTCTCTTTTTAGAATAATTCCTTCAGCTTTAAAGATGTTATACCTAATAAAGGAAGATGTGCAGTACAGTACCTCCTCATTCTGAGTGTTTATGGCTTATAGTAGTAAAATGAGATTTACTAATGCTGTTTGGGAAATTTACAGATGTATATTTCTACTAACTTCTAAATCAGTATTCTGGAAAAATAGTATTTTCTTATAATGTCTTACTTTGACTGTGACACAGGTGTATGTCCACTTGTACTCAATCTTGCTATTTAAAAATATATTTTTTTTTGAAAATTTTGTCTGCCACATCCTATAACCAAGTTGTCAAAATGCAGATTAAAAAACATAACAGCCCCAATCTTCTAAAAAGCAGCGTATTTCAAGTGATATTTGGAATAGTCACCGGGAAAGAAATTTTGGAGAATGAATACGTAAACCCAGTGATATAATGTACTAGATAAGAGATTAGCACCAAATAATATAGATTTGAAAAGACCAGCCCTTTCTTGCACTTGGGAATAGTGATATATCCATCCCTAAGGATTCATTCATTTCCCAGAAGCTTTCCTATCCCATTTCTGATACTTCTTCCAGTCCCTTGGAAGAAGTCATTGGATCCAGTCCCTTGGAAGAAGTCAAAAGGCATGCATAGTCATTGAGATTTCAGGTCTCAACGACAGTGTGCATTTTCAGGCCTACAACCAAACATTTCAGCATGGATCATTTGCCATCATCTATCTATTCCCAGGCATTGTTTTTCCAGTCCTGGAGTTCTCATTCCATTTCCAGGTCTGCCTTGGTGGTCTTGAGAGCCTTCAGATTACCACCTTCTACTGGCCTGTCCGAAGTATTTCTCATTGTTTTATCATTTCCCTGGGGTAAGGATCTAATGCTCAAACTGCATTTTTTATCAAGATGGATATTTGATAAACATCACGTAAATAAAGAGTAACAAAAACGTTTCCATTTCCGGACCTGAGCGTGTTTCCTAACCTTTCCTACCGATACCTTCCTTCTAGGATCCACTCCTCATTTTAGGTGTAGCCTGCGCTGCCTTCTGTGGAACTCCATCATCATGTCAATAGTAGACCTAGCTCAACTCCCTTTATTTCCTACGGGCCTCTGGAGAGCTCCCGAGGTTTTCCAGTTGAAAGGACAGACCAGGTCCTGCCACAGGGCTCCGGAGAGAGGGAAGATGACAACGTCTTTTGCTCTATGAACCAGGTCTGCGGAAGCCTCAGAAGCGGAGACTGAAGGGGAAAGCCCTGCTGGTACGAACCCAGAGAGGCTTCCCGCGGAGCTCTGCACTCGGAGAATGGGCAGAAGTTGAACCCCGGATATTTCGGGTGCGGAGCCACTGTAGTTTGGGCCAGACCTCCCATCCACCCCCCAGGCCCAGGCTGTTGGAGGGCCTCTCGCCCAGCCACCCGGTCCTCCTGCTGCGACCCTGGCCGGAGGGACTCACCGACGGAGTATAGGGTGGGCTCAGCAGCTGCAGCCCCACCGAGGGGACCATCCTCCTCCGGGGAGGCCTCGCCGCTCCCTCCCCCACTCCCGTATCCCTGTGTGCACTCATACAAAATCCCACCCATCCCTCTCTGAACAGCCAATGCGCGACCGATTCCCCGCCCACTTCTGTCAATCAGCGATCCAGAACAAGGCCACCGAGCTTGGAGAAAGGCGAGGCCGGCCCACGAGCGCTTCATTGGTCGAAGCGCCAGCCAATGAGCGCCCCACAGGTTTGAGATTGACGTTCAATGGGTTAGATTGAGGAGAAATCGGAACTGCCTCGGAGGCAGGTCGCGGGGAGATTCGGAGCGAGGAGCGGAGACCCTTTCTGAAAGACGAGGAGCGGAAGCGTGTTTGGAGATAGCCCTTGAAGTCAGTTCAGATTCGGTTTCTTTGCCAATTTTTGGCTGTCCCCAGTTCTAAGCACAAGTCCGTTCTGCTTCTTATGTAGTGGATATTTGACTTGATTCATACCATTCTCTAAAACGGCGTTTCTCAACCTCAGCAATTTTCAGATGAGTGGACTTCACTTCCCAGAATTCCCCAGCAAGCATAGAATTCTGGGAATTGAAGTCCGTACATTTTATTAAGATTTTTCATAAAAGACAAAAAGGAAAATCAAAAAAGTGTAAGAAAAGAAAAAGGTAATATATAAATGAATTCCGACCTCCTTTTCAACACATTACAACACATTACAATTTAATTGCCCCCGCCCTCTCTTAAATATTTGTTTTATTTTAACCCTTCACCTTTCTCATTTAATCTGCATTTTTCTTAATATTTAAATCGGTAATTCATTTTATTTTTTCTTCTCTCAGAAAAATGTCCATATAAGGTTTTTAATCTTTCAAAAAGGTTTCTGTTATTTGTTCTCTGACTGAACAGGCCAGTGTCATCATTTCTGTAAATTCTGATATTTTCACAATCTATTCCCCACTGTGAGAGTTTTCATTATTCTTCCATCACTGAAGTCTTGCTAAATGTGATCTATTTGCTAAGAACGTAGCTGTTGTGGTTTGCAAACTATACAAAATCTCAGCCCATAACATGTTTGAATTGTGATACTACATGCTAAATCATGTAAATATTTACATGATTAAGGATATCCTTTTTAAAGGATATATGATATATGATAACTTACTGTTGTTTGCTAAAAAGGAGCATGAAAAAGTTCCCCATTTTTAGGTTTGAGTTTTTGCACATTACATTTACAGCTAGGAAGTAGATTTTTCAATGGAGGTTGGTTGAGACAGTCACAGCTCATTATGATGGATGTTACAGCCATAATCCCAAAGAAAATTCAGAAGCCTGCCAAGGTAGTGTTTTTCCATTATGCATTTATAGAAATTAAAATCAATACAAAGTATACATCAATCTACCTCATCTACTTTGAAAACATAGGCATTGACATAAATAATTTTATTAAGGGGCAAACCAAAACTGTGCATTGACATCTAGGAATAGGTCATCCTGAAATTAATAATAATTTCTATATTTGTACAGGTTAAATTTGTCAAATGTATCTAACAAAGATTTCCAGCTGACTGAAATGCAGTCTAGTTTTTAATTAAAAAGAAGTTACTGTTTAAATATCTGAATTAAAATAGGAATTGTATCAAAGGCAGATGTGTTCCTGATTATTTTCCTAGTTCTCTGCCTTTCTGTAATGTTTCAATATTAGTAAAAGTTGAAAACATTATTATCATTTCACTCTGATTCTGAATGTTACTCTCCACAGAAAAGAGTAACATGAAAGTTTATTTAATCTGAAGAAAAAACATACTTGATCCATAGCCATTCAGCTAAAAAAAATAAAGAAATGTAAATAAAATAATAATAAATCTGAGTTGTAGCCTCCCTCAATGGGGAGACTTCTCTCAGGAGCTACAGTTGTTGCCTGTAGAAAAGTTTGTGTTGAATGCAAATTTGCAGAAATGTAGTGCTTTGATACAATTTCCCCTCAAAGGTTAGTGCTTCAGAATAGAAGTAATCCAGAAATCCATAGCCCAGACACTGTGGAAATTTATATAATAGAGGCCTCTTCTATACTTTTATTTGAAAGGAAGAAAGTTGGGGGGGAGGGGATAGCCTGCACAAAACCTTCAAAAAGAAAAATATTGTCCTGTCCTTTGAAATACAAGTGTCTGCTGAGAAAATGGGTTTTTATTTATTTAGAAAAATTAGAATGTTTATTTATTAACCTTGTTTCGGATTTTCAGCACTGCTTCTTAGGCCAAAGAAAAATCTTAGTTTCTTGTACTGCTGCCAGCTTTTTCAAAATTTTAAGTACCCATTTGTTTTCTTCAAATCTACCTATAAAAACATGTATCACCTCTCCTGTGGGAGCTGCATTAGTTACCAATTTGCTTCCGGGTGCAATTCAAGGTGCTGGTTCTCACCTTTAAAGCCCTTCAAGGCTTGGGACCAGATTATCTGAAGGACCGTCTCTTGCCAGTCACATCTACCTGACCCAATCAGAGCGGGGAGGAAGGGAATGTTGCAGGCCCTACCCCCAAGGGAGATATACCTGGTGGGGTCTTCTCCGTGGTAGCTTCTTCTCTCTGGAACATCATTCCCTCAGAGATTAGAATGGCCCCACTCTAATACTCTTCCAGAAGGCACTGAAGACCTGGTTCTGCAAGGAGGCCTGGGCAACCCAGAGCGGGATAGAGCCCATTAAATGGCTCGTGTGATCTGCTATCACCCGGGCAGCAGGTGGGATTTGGCAGGTGATGTTATTTTGTATTATATTAATTTATTTGATTCTTTTTGTTACATTTTGTTTTAAATGTGGTTTTATATTTTGTAAGCCACCTTGAGTCACCATGGACAAATAGGCGACAATATAAATTCAATAAATAAATTTTTAAAAATACTTGATTTTATCCTATCTTAACTTTCCAACAACCCTTGGGGAAAGTTGGGCTAAAAGCAGCCAGCTTTTCTATTACGTTCATTACCAAAATGGCTCTACTTAGGATGTGCTAGACTGATTAACCTTAAACCACGGGGTTGGAGATCCCTGGTTTAAGGTAATCAGTCCAGCACATCCTAAATAGAACCGCAGCATGGGATGCAGCCAGCATGCAAAACCATGCCCCCTCTGGTCCATGGAAAAATCTATCTCCAAGGAACAAGTCCTTAGTGCCAAAATGTTTGGGGGACACTGCCTTAAACAATGAAAATTGCAGTAGAGAATCAAGAGGTTGAGGGAAATGTTATGCAGATTTTAATTCATGCTGCCCAATAATGTGTAATAAAAATTAAAAGCTAACATTAGAGGAATGTTTGTTCCTAATGTTCAAAAATAAACTTGTTTTAAGTGTAAAGGCATTACCTAAGATCTATAGGCAATGCAATTCATCTTTATTTTGCAAGCATTTTTCACCAAAGTATTCAATCTTCAGAAATGCTCAAATTTTCCTAGTAACAGTAATGTGGCACATGTTAAAGTGACTTTTCTTCTTCCAAATCAGAATTTTTTTGTACGTAGCAAAAACTGACATTGTGAAGCACCCGTAGATTAAACATGAAGCCAAAGTTGGTTATTTTGGAGAAAGATACACTTCCATAGTTGGAATGCAGTTTTTGTTGACTATTTCCAGGAAGGACACATTGTAGTATCCTCAAGTAATGCTTCTGACTGAATTGATTATGTAAAGGCTGACATTCCTTTTAAATTGTACACAAGGAGGTCCTGAATATCAGAGCTGGAACATTTATGAACCATATTCCCTATTCTTCCTATTTGTCATGAATGCTGGCAAGTGATAATTGCATAGTGGCACTGGTAATTTCTTTTTACATATCTGGCCTTGGCAACTGTGGTAATGTTCAAGGATCTGCTAATAGCGATTTTGTATGATAGGCATTGATGCTCTGTCATGTTTGCCAATTGCCACTCATGTATGTCTGATGGAAGAGCAGTTTTAAAAGCACGTAACATGCAATCAGATCCATCACTACATCATATTGAGATACTATAGGGATAGTTGGGAAAGGAGGAAAACACCTGAATACTTTGACTTGAGCATGGATTTTTATTTTATGTTTTTATTAAATTTTTAATCCACCCATCTCATTATCAATGAGAATTTTTTTAAAAAAAGTTTAGTGTCTAAAATTAACACTCTATAAATGTTTGCAGGGGCTAAGAAGAAATGGTAAGGGCAATGCTTTAAGTTCAAAGAGAATTCAAAAATACATTAAATTTTGTTCCTATATTCAATTCCAAGGCTGGAATCATTGAATGAGGTGGAGAGGGAGCCCAAATTGAACAGACTGGGATAAACCACAGCTGGTTCTTTCAGCAATGTCAATGCTTGGAGGGTTCTTTCCCACAGAAGGACCTAAAGATGTGAAGACTGTTCTGCCGTGCCTTCTTGATGAATCTTGGTAGATGAGGATGATCTTTAGCGAAGTACAAGAGAAAGAGGAAATATCCATTTGCAGACAGCCATTTAATTCTGTAGTTTGAACACTACTTATAAATCTTGAAGCCTGACACAGTAAACAAGGAAAAGGAACAGGTGTTACAGAGAGACTATGACAAGGAAGACTGCCTTCTGATACTACAGGGCAGGGCCTTTCCCAGACTAACAGATCCCCTGTGCTCAAAGTATAATTTTAAAAGGCCATTACGGTATCTTAAAGATAAAAGCTTTTATGGTTATTGCGGAGAAGACAACAGATTTCCTCAAAGGTCCAAGTCTTTTTATATGTCAAATAAATTAATTCAAATTTATAATCAAGAAACTGGACTAGAAAATGTTTTAGAGAAATTTTGCAATTCAGTTGAAAAGTGACCCATGTAGGGGGTGGATTGCTCAAATTTAGTAGGCATCACAGGGCCAGGTTAATTAAAACATAGCTAGAATTTATTTAGGCTGTAATAGCATGTCATCTTTAATGGACATAATTAACGAAATACTTTTATCTATACAAAAATATTCCCTCTTTCCTGACATGTACAGATACTTTCTTCTTGCATGCCATGGTTATCTATATATCAAAATGTATTTTTATGAAGTTCACTTTCACAGTTGTGCTATCTATGAGAAACTATTTTGTGCTAAACTCCTTTAAGATCATTCAGCTATAGCTATGAATGTCACATATATTCCGTACACATGTCTAAATAGAAGTGAAGATGATTGAACAGTATTCCCCAACCGATTAGTATAACTATACATATGCTGAAAGGCAAGAGTGGAAAATTTCCTGCTTTCCCTGTGAGGTATTAAAAAGCATCTATTTTAGATACTCCCGCATTTGATTATTTCAAAAGGCAAGGCATTTCCCATAATTGGCAAATTTCTGCAGTATACCAAGATAATTAAGCAATCTGCTGCTCTTTGCTATAGTTAGGCAGAGAGAAAACAGTCCAGGGAGCTAGGAATTGAATTCTCTGTTTTTCTAAGTAAGGAGTAGCCAATGATTGGCAGTTATACAGAAGTATAACTTCATTTTCTGATTTCTTTCAGTTTCTACAGCACATAGTTACTGCATAATGAATATCTCCAAGAAATACTGAAAAATACATTTACAAAAATGACAGTGACTGAAAACATGTTTTAAAAATTGAATTTTCTTGAAATCACAAAGGAAAACTGCCTGAAAAAACAAGCAAGAGAACCATTTTAAATCTCAACTTTCAATTCTGGAATAGGGATATACCTTTTCCTTAGCACCAGAAGGCAGTTACGGACTAACACTAATTTGTCTCCAACCTTCTTCAAACTATATGCTTTATCTACCACTAATAAGGGAAGAGGTATGGGCACATAAGCTCAAGGTGCACTTCAACCTCTTTGTAAAAGGAAGACAATTTCTGAGAAACTAAAATATAAAACTTTGCAAACTATGACCAAAACATCAGTATGAAAATCTTTCCAACTCAGGGCCTCCACAGGAGAAGCTTAATCTTTTTTTAATTGGAATTACGTAGCTTGGAGAAAGTTTATAATGTACTGATCTAATACTCATTCAGGATCTTCTGCTAGGATTGTAAGGAATAATGAAGATTCTAGTGTTTCCAGTTCCTTTGTAGTAAATGCTTCATAATGCAACTTAATTGAATTTTCCCAATTTGGGTTTCCTTTGCTTCCAATTCAACATCACAATGAAATTAAAACATCCAATCACAAGATTACACTATAACCACACAATCCCAAAAAATTCTTTTTCAAAGCAGAAAAATGTGAAATACAGCTCAGGTCCAAAAACAGAAAAGAAATACATTTTAATATTGATTTAAGTGATAGGGTAGAATCTTTCCACTGCAACTGGCTACATTTCCCCAAATGAAAAGAATAAACTGAATCTGACATTGTAGTACTGAATGCCAGGTACTCAAACTGAAGTTGCAAACAAGAGCATAACAAAATACAAAGCAAGAGCTCAGCAAAGTAGGCTACAGTTCTCATATGTCGTTAGGAGAATGCCAGGTATTTGCTGAATCTTTACAATGCTCCCCCAATAAGCCATGCTTCTTGGTGTTTTACAACACTCCTTTTGTAAAGATGAAAGTCATTCTTTAAATGTGTAAGAAAAATAGTTTTAACCATCTTCTGTTTTAAGTAGCTAATTTCAGCAAACCAGCAGAGCCATTTTCAGAACAAAGCTTATTTTTTTAGTCACCTGCTTTAACAACATTAAATGTTTGTTCCTCCACTGTGCCAGAACCAAGGCATGTTCATCTTTCCCCATGAAATGTATATAATCAGAGGATGAAAGAAAGATGGTATAACCCATTTGGATTGTCACCTACACCTGTCAAGGAACATGACATCAGCTGGCCAAACCTAGTACAAATAAACCATTCATAAGACTGATGTCTGTGTATGTTCCAAAGATCAACAAGGCCAAACCTGCTAAATCAAGTTCAGAACTAGAGAGAAATAACTTCCAAATAGGAAAAGCAATATGGCACTGATGCAAGGTATTGCTTAAACTTTGTCCTTCATCAGAAAAGCAGAAGGATCACACATGCTGAAGAAAAAAATTGACCTTTGGAAGACCATATGAAGCCTCCACTCCCTCCTCCCCCATTAAAACTCTTTTATCCCAAAGAATGCAAAGTAGAGATATAAAATAAAAACACACAATTTGACAATCCTTAGGAAGTTATTAATTTGTTGGACAGGTACAGCACGTATTAGGAAAAAGGAAACAAAAAACCAAAACTCCAGGCCTTCTTTCCTTATTTGGTGACAAGAAAGTGCAAGAAAGGGTTTCCTGGGTTTTGCTCAGTTGTCAGATTTTTGCATATCTGTGTTCTGGCCAAGACAGGGGACTTTGAGACTTTTCTGCAGCACATGCGCATCTGCTGGTTCTATCCTTTTGTAGTAGTTCTTCTTTGTTTCAATGATCTCAAATCCAAATTTTCGGTAGAAATCAATTGCTGATTCATTGCTAATCTGAACATGCCTAGGACAGAAAAAGAAACAATATACTAGAATTTGGTTCCATGTATTAGCAAAGGCATTTAGGCATCAGAAAAACAAATGAAAAGAAAGACATAGAACATAGGCATTACCAAACAAGTTATGTACTGCCTCACTACAATTCGTTGTCAAGGACTACCTATAAGCCTACAAAGGAAAGGAAGCTTACCAGTTAAGCTTAATCTGCCCCATTCTTTGATTCCTAAACTGACATTGGATCTCCTTATCCTTTCCTAAATTTTCAAACTGCAGTTTAGAATTCCCATAGAAGCACTACCCTTTTCAGCTTTAATAGTGAAAGCAATCATTACTATTCTTACTCCAAGAATATTAAACATGAATTGTCAATTGCACTCTTCATTCCAATGACATAGTCCTTGACTCAGAACAGTTCATTCGAAGTTATAATGGCTCTGAAGTTACGTCACTGAAAAAAGTGACTTATGACTGTTTTTACAGTTATGACCTTTGCAGCATCCCCATGATCATGTGATCAAAATTCAAATGCCTGGCAACTGTTTCATACTTATGACCACTGCAGTGTTCTGGGGTCATGGGATCACCTTTTGCAACCTTCAAAGTCAATGGGGAAACCAGATTCACTGAACAACCATGTTACTAATTTAACAACCACAGTAATTCATTTAACAACTGTGGCCAGAAAAGTTGTAAAATGGGACAAAACTCAACTTAACAAATTTCTCACTTAGCAACATAAATCTGGAGCTCAATTGTGATCGTAAGTGAATGACTACCTGTACAGCAATTTCTATGGAAAGACCGCAGATAACAATGGTAATCAAAATAATAGGTGATCAATCTACAAGTGGGCCATGTTGATACCTGAGGTGGAAGAAGACTAGAACAATGCCTACATTAATGGCTGCAGTACGCCTTAGCCTACAGACTTCCAGAGGGTGGGATCTGTCCTGTTACAGAAAAAGTTGGATAATTCTTGATCTAAGCTTATTTTTCTTTGAACATTTTAATTTTTATGCCTTAGTATTAAGTTGAATTAAAAATGAACACAAATAATTTAAATCCCCCATGCTTAAATGAAATCAATCAACAATATTTACTTACAGATAGATATTATCAAAGGTGCCATCTTTTTCACAGATGTTTAACACATGATTCAACATTTTAGTTCCTGAAAAAGAATTGAGAAAGTACAAAAGAAAATCATGTTATTTCTAGACTTTTTCAAGTTTTGCAAGTTTATATCCCAAGACCAGCAACACTGCCTCTGAAATCAGAATCTCAACTCCAATATTTGAGATTGCGCTCATTAGTTTAAAGAAAAAATTAAGGATGCTTTTAGAAAATAACATCAAGTAAGGAAATCATTGTTAAATTACTGAATTGATTAGCTACAAGTTGATAGTTTGATAAATAACCCTAATAACTGCTTCCATTCTAAAAGCTTCTTCATATGATATATGAAGTTTGACTTTTCATCTAGCATCTTGTACTATTTTATTATTGGAACGAGTACAGAAATAAGTACACTTTAAAGCTCAAGAGTCAAATAAAGGCCACTCAGTATTTGCTGCCTATTCCTTACCTATTCCTAACCGTCGGTAAGGGGCCAGACATCCAAGCGTCATGATGTACAGTCTTTTCTGATTCTGAGAATGATCTACTCTACAGCACACTGCGCCCACAGCAATATCATTGAAATAGGCTGTCAAAAAGAGATGGGAACAGAAAGAAAGCATATACTGATTTTTTTTAAATTTACATGAATAGAATTCAAGACTTTTTAAATTTTCATATATTACATTTTAAGTCAATTCAAATGTTGAATTGAATCAATTCAAACGTTGAATTGAATCAATTCAAACAAGGCCTAAAACTCACTGAAACATGCTAGTTAGAAAGGTCACAGTTATTTTGAGGAAAAAAATCAACTATGGACATAAAAAACAAGCAGATTAAAAGAATACTAGAATAGATTTCCATAATAGCTTTTTATGTGCAGAAAATATGTTTTGTAAAGGAGGATTCAAAAGCATCAACAAAGAGCACAGCAGTATAATCAATGGGACAATGGAAAGACATTTCCAAAGACACGCAGATTTTTTGTGTATATGTGTGTTCCTTTGACCCAGTGTTGATGGCAGGTGAACACCTGGACAAAATCCCTGAAGGGGGCAAGATTTCATTTGTGGTTTGCTCTTGCTTTCTTCCTAGAGCTGAGAGACAGCCGCTGACTTAAAGTCACCCAGCTAAGATAGGACAAAAGCTCCTGGTTTTCAGTTTATAATATACTAAAAATCAATCAAAAATCTGTGATGAAAAGCTAAAAAAGGAATGATGTTTTTTATCATTTGAATGTTAGCTGGAATAATCATAGCAACTGAGAGTATATTGCAATAATCTACCTTAGAGATTGTAAAGGCTTGGGTGAAAGCTAATTACTCACTATCGCATCAAGAGAGTACCTGAAGAGATATCGAAGATGACAGAAGGGTATGACATGTTCTCGAATTGTTCCAGAGTCCAGGACATGGAATAACAATCTCAGATTAGAGGAAATATAGATTCCAAAGATTGGGAAAACAGTTCAAAAATGTAAAGTATCACTTGGACTAATATTATGTCCAGCCTCATGTGATGTACAATTAAAGAAATACATGAAAAATATGTTCAATAACATATACAGCATTAGATAATTTAGCACCAACCCACTAAATAAAGATCAAGAATTTATACCCAGTTTGGCAAGCTCGCCGACTTCTAACACATCCTTGTAGAACTTGTCATTGTAGCTGACAGGAAAGATGACTTGGTTTAACCTCTTCAACTGCTTAATGTTGTGTGGTGTTACATCACCCAACTCGATCCGGCTACTGGAACAAATCAAAACGTGCTCAATACCTCTAGGAATTCCACTTTTATTAAATTACAGATGATTTAATAGAACACTTCAACATACCTTAAATGTTAAATTCTCAATTCAAATACTTTGCAATTTTATATAGAACAAATCTGAATTATTATTCTGAAAAGGAATTGTGGCCATTCTGATTAGTAAGAAGAGAACCTAGTTTATATGAAATAACTCAGAGTTACTGTTATTTATTTAGAATAGAATAGAATTCTTTATTGGCCAAGTATGATTGGACAACAATTTGACTTTTACCCTGTCTTTATTACTTTATCAGACAAAGATACCAAAATCCCAACACAAGCTTTTTGTACATGTACAGCATCAACCCAGGAGGACCCTGGAACTAACTCCTTTTAGGGCCATGCAATCTCATGCAGAAGAAGCCTATTCACTGAAATTCAGCTGTCACAGGAGTATCAAACTCAATTTCATTCAGGGATGCATCAGGGTGGTGACCAAAGAACTCTGCCAGCAAAAATGGGCTCCTGGGCTTCATTTTCAGCTGTGATGGCCTCCTGCAACCAACCCTCTGCCAGCAAAAATGGAGCTCGGGAGGCTCACACACGGCCTTTGAGAGCTCTGTTTTCACTGGCAGAGCCACTGTGGGCCAGTCCTTCACTGTTTCCAGGGCAGCTCCATGGGCCAGATCTAAGCACCCCGCGGGCCAGATCTGGCCCCCGGGCCTTGAGTTTGACACTCCTGAGCTATCAGAATCAACCTTAACAATTTGTCTTGTCTCAAATCAGCTTCAACTTATATTCCCCTCAATCATGTCCTTAATAGTCAGAGAACATACAGAAGTTGCTGAGATATTCAATTCTGAGCTTTCGGAAAGAGTAAGTTCTTCAAACCCATGCATGATCATTTCAGACAGAGTTAATATAGGTATTACATGAACACAAGACACAACTTTCGGGAACATCCTCTCACTCTGTAATTTAAACAAATAATCATTTTCCAAAAGTATTAAGAGAAATAACAGTGGAATCACAATAAAACATTACTTCCAATGCTCAGCTATTCAAACTCTAAAGGTATACAATGGATGAGGTAAAGGTAGTGAATTCTACAGTATCACTAGAATTACATTCTTTCTTTGACAATTTTGGAGCTGAATCCAGTTCTCTGAACGGAACAACAGAGATAGTGACCTTCATGTCAGCTTCATAACAAAGTGCTACACATAGATAGGATGTGGCCCTATTCACACAAACACCTTTGCCTCCAAAGTATAGCCACCCAAACATTGCCCATTTCATAAGGTATCAAAAGGTTTTTGGAAATGAGTATTATTCTGGATGCTAATTCTTTTTTTCCACAGCTTAATATGTCCCTTTTAAAACTAAACTTTAAAAAGTAGAAAGAGTTAGGAATTCTGAGAAGTGTAAAGGAAATGCTTATGGGCTAAGTTTGTCAGGGATCATATCTTTGCTGGGTATCACTTTATAGCTAGGATAAGCAGGTTCCGGGGTTGTATCTCTGCCAGCATGCACATAATAAATCTGAATCTATAATTTCACTTCAGATGCTTAAAACATACAAGTACAAATAGACATATCCACACATGGAAACAAATACAGCACTAAATACCACATAGAATGGAACAAAACTACACTTTTCAATAAAAATCAATGAATAATTAGTGGATTTCTTCCATATGTAATTGTGCAGTGTTAAACTACAGCCTTAAAATCTCGCTTAAACTACCGTAATAGTAAGACAAAAGATAGAACCGAACAAATAAAAAGTAGTAAGAAAGATAAAACGCATTAAAGGACTACCTATCATTTCTCACTCAAAACTAATTTATAAATTGAGAGGTCCTTGGTACTCTGAGCTTGGTTGTTTTCTTGCAGACATTTTATTACTCAAACTAGGTAACATCTTCAAACAACCAAGCTCAGAGAACATAAAGGATCCCTTATTTCAACCCTGAGCTACAAACATTTTCATTTATCGGCAACTTATAAATTACATATTCCAGAGATAGTACAATGCTGGTGTACCTAACTATAGTCCCATTTTCATTGCAGCAATCATATTAATAACAAAATATCACAGAACACAGCATCTTCCTGGAACAGACATGGCAACTCCCATCAGTGATGGAACATGCTGTCAATGACATGCTCATTCGACATGGAAGGACCATAATGAATAGTGAAACACCTACATGAACTAGCCAAACATACTATCCTCACTGAATCAATCACTATACTGAAGACAACAGGGATACCTGAAAACAGAGAAGACAATCTAATCATGTGACGTATGAAATTTGTAATTATTGTTCACCACCTAGGATTCTATACCACAAAAGTTTGAAGCTTCAACAGATCTTATGAGATTAACTGAAAACCGTGGATAAGGAACAGTCAGCTTACAAAACAGTACTTTATGCAAGTACTGTATATGTATTTAAAAGGCAGTATTGGTAAAAAGTTTGTTTTAATTTAAAAAATTATCAGTATTTTTGTAGCTATTTAATCCATGAACTTTTTTAGCAATTGCTATTTATTTATTTAGCATATGGCAAACACATGGACTCATAGTAGTTCAAATGTCAATGTCCAATCCATCCAGCCATTCAAGGACAGGGCAGTCCATGCTGAAAAATAAACAGACACTGGACCCGTGCAACCTCCAGATGGACACAATGTGATGGATATTCTGTGGAGGAGCACCACAGTCACACTGAGGGGCAGAGACAAGTCCCCACTCAAACAGTGAGTCCTGGCAAACACCATGCTGGGCACAGATGCCGCTCAGAGATGACCAATGCTGGTGAGGAAGGCCAAAGTCTGGCACCTCACATGCAGAGCCATCCATGCAGCTGCCTGTATCTGGGCGCTGATGTCAAAGCTGCCAGACAGCTGCCGAGCGAGTGCCAGAAAGGGCCCCCCTGGATCCAAGCCTGCCAACCAATAGATGAGGAAGATCAGCATGCGCAGGAAGAAGTGGGCCCCTCACAATTCTGTTGTACTCCTTCACCAAGGCCTCCTGCCCTCACAGAGCCAATGATGCAATGTGGCTCAAGACTGGGACCAGACGGGTTGCCAGAAGTTCTACAAAGATGTCTGGCTGCCAACTGTCGTTAACTGCCAATTCTTCAATGTAGTCTGGCTGCCAATTGTTGCTAGTCATTTGGTTCACACTTCCGTGCTATCCAGGGTGCACCACAAAGAGGCGAGCTAGCATCACACCTCTTATTCAATTATTCAATTTAAAATCAACTCTGTATTTATAAGCTACTTGAGAAACATCTGAGCTGAATTTTTTTTCAACCAAAAATGTCAGTAACTTCAACTTTGAGAACTTTATTTTGCTGAGTGTTCAACAATACTTTAAATGCTGTATTTGTTACTTTCTTATTCAAATAAGGGATATTAATAATTGCTCAGGCACAATTCTAGGCTCTTTGGCTGATTTAATGTTCAAGGCTCTTTGGCTGATTTAATGCCCCAGGGGCTATTATCTGACAAACTGAATAAATCAAGCCAGATTAATCCATGTCATTAGTTTGCACCTTAGTGTTAAATTAATAAACTACAGATAAGATAAGCATGATATGCAATCTCAGCAATGAAGTATGACATAAAAGCTGGAGATAGATGCTATCCACCTACAGTGCTGTTTATTCTTTGCATTGCTGCTGGAAAGTGCCAGAAGCTTGGTCAGTATAACACGAAAGCTCTGCCAAATGAAGCTTCATTCATCTTGAAATGTCTTTTTATCAGCATTTCAAGGAATTGAAACATTGGTAAAAGTAGTTAGATTCTTCTCAAAGATATGATTCCAAAGACTGCCTTTGCAAGAAAGAAAAGACCAGCTTCTTGTCTCTTGTTGAGAGACCAGACTGAGCTTTAACCTTTGCACTGTTGGAAAGACTAGTAATCTCTTTTCAACCTTATTGCTGGGACACATGACTTGGAAAATGAAATATCTGGATGGTAATGAAAGATTCTACCACAAAGGTCTCTTTGGGCATATAATGGAATAACTGAGGGAAAATGGCACAAGCTATTATATATGTTGAAAGAGGATGATTGTTTAAATTATGAAGTGACTTGGTGGGGAGGGAGCCTGTAGAATCAGAACTGAGTGTTCAAGGTAAGTAAAGCATTTGAGAGCTGCCCTGACTTCCAATTTGAAGATGTAATACACACACACACAAAAAACCTTAGTTTTGCTTTATGAATTAAAGTTGTCTTCCTAGTAGTGGGAAACACTTGTGAGCTCTAGATATTTAGTTCTTTTTAAGCTACAATAAGCTAAAGTAAAAGAAGAGATACACAGAGAGGCATTCCCACCAAACCAATTTTATTTCAATAATATTTCAACCGATTGAAATAGTTCAATCTTTATCCCCCTTTTATCTCATATTATGAACTTAAGCTTCTCTCCAGGGCAGCCAGATACAAATAGGACTATATTGTATCACTAAAAACAGCTACAAAGATTATTGAAAACCGACTGCTCAGCACCTGGGATGGCACAACGCACTAAACATTACTTGAAGTACAGGAACTGCATTTTCAGGGCCTTTTTTTGGACTTGCCATAGTTGTGAAAGGAGGCTAGGCTCCCATTTTTACTGGTGCGATACACCTTTAATTGGGACGTGATTCACTTTATGGTGCAATTCCGCGCACGCTTCCTCGGGGCCGAATTCAAAAAGCTCGCCTCCCCTTCCCCCTCCCCCTTCCCCCGCGCCTCTCTTCTCTCCCAGAATATAAAGTTACATACTCCCTGAGCCAAGAACAGCCACACGGGCCGCCCGCTTCGTTTTCATTCCCCTAAAAAGGCAGGTGAACGACTCCCAACAGTCGTTAGGCCAGAGAAACAAAGAGATGCCGTCGCCAAAAGCCCTGAGATAATAAGCCAGAGGTCCCCCATTCGCTTAGAAAGGATCCCTCGAAGCCACCCCACGGATGTCCGAGAGGAAAAAGACGCGGCGGCGGCGCCGGTCCCGCACTCACCCCTTCATAGCTGCTGAGGGCCCAAGATCTCGATCCAGATGTGGCAGTCAGGCTGCTTCTGCTGCCACTCCACATGGGCCTCAGACCGTTCCGACCGTCCCCGCGAGTGTGCGCGTAGCCCCGCCTCTTTTCCTGGCTCAACCTTTCACCCAACACTGACGTAGGGTGACGCAACGTGACGTGCGACGGCCACCCGCTTTAGACGTAGACCAGCTCTGCTTCTACGCTAGGCATCACGCAAGCGCAGCGCCTCCTCTACGATTGGTTGCGAAGGGCGTGCGAATGGTGCATTCACTTGGTTCATTTCCGGGTTCAATATTCGGTAGGCCCCTTCTGGCGAAAAAGAGCATATTCTTTTCTTTTTTTCCCCAAAGAGTAAACAAAAAGACAAACACCCAAATGGGTTGCGCATTTCACTTGAAAAAAAGGTTTTAATAAGGTAGATGTACCATAATTATACTAAAAACATTCGGACAACCTCTACATGTCCCCCCACCCCCATTTCAGCTTAATGTGTGTTGTGTTTGTACCCTATAGTAAGAAAAAAAACCGATTAATCAACCTATGTGGTATTTTACGTTGTTTAGGCCGTGACTTTTGAATTTAGGCATTGTCTCAACCAGGAGTATTGGATATTTTGGATTTATAGAAAATGCATTTGTAGCTTATAATAAAGTTTACCAATTTATACAAAAGTACTGTACTTTTTCAAACTTGCTAATCTAGCGTGTGGCTAGGTTATGATTTACAAACCGTAGTGAATGAGATCACATAGTGACTGAACCAACCAATCATGTTATGGCTTAGCACAATATACAGCATTTCACTGATAGCAAAATATTAAACATACTTAGGCCTGAATCCAGGCATATTTTAAATTAAACATATGCCTTATCCATTATTTGTAACCATGGTTTCTTAAGTTAATCTTAAACCATGAATACAAATTAGATTGCTGCATATCTAATATACAAATAAGATTGCTGTACAATCAGGCCAGAGATTGCTGTACAATGTATTAACAGAGATCAGAGCAGCAGAGAAAAGCTACTCTAAAAAGCTGAGAGGAATCAGTTATCAACAAATGAACCAGCAAATGTGTGGAAGAGTCTTAAAAATATTACTGGCTACAGCAAACCTCCTTCCCTTGCTGAAGGAAATCAACAATTGGCAGATGCCCTGAATGTGTTTTACTGTAGGTTTGAGAGGAATTCACTGTGAGATACATCAACAACAGCCAAGTCTTTTACACTATTTCACAGACAAAAGCCTGGAAAAGCACCAGGCCGACAAGGTAACACCTTGCTTGAAAGCTTGTACTGACCAACTGGCCCCCATTTTCACCCACATCTTTAACTAGAGATGTGTTATGTTCCTTCTTGCTTCGAATGCTTTACTATCATCCCAGTGCCGAAGAAACCTTCCATCAAGGAACTGAATGACTACATACCGGTTGCTCTGATACCCATAGTTAAAATCTTTGAAAGGTTAGTGCTGGCCCTTCTGAAAACTATCATGGATCCGCTGTTAGACCCTTTGCAATTTGCCTACTGAGCAAATAAATCAGCAGATGATGCTGTTAATATGACACTGTATCTTGAATCCCCAAGACCTATGTAATAGGGGTTCTTTTTGTAACTTCAGCTAGACAGTCAACACTATCATTCCAGAAATCCCCTCTAAACTGATTTAACAAGCTTTGCCTGACAACATTTGCAGATGGATTATAAGCTTTCTAACAGATAGGAAGAAGCAAGCACAGCTAAGTAAAATCACATTGAATGCCTTTTCAATTAGCACAAGAACCCCCCCCAAGGCTGTGTGCTCTTTCCATTACTCTTTCCTCTCTGTATCAATTACTGTATTTCAAAAGATCTCTGTTAAAGTACTGAAGTTTGCAGATGATAGTTTGATCTTTGGTGAAGTTTGTCATTGGTCTCATTGGAAACAATAATGAGTATGCATATAGAGGAAGATAAACTGACCCTGTGGTGCAGCCGGAACAATGTGGAGCTGAACACTCTTAAAACTGTAAAGATAGTAGATTTTAGAAAAAGCTCTCCTATCACCTCTTACAATATTAGGCAACATAGTATTAACAGTAAAGACCTTCAAATTTCTAGGTCGGGGTGTCAAACTCACAGTGTCACGGTGGCATTACATGATGTATCAGGACTTTTTCCCCTTTGCTAAATTGGGTGTGGGCATGGCCAGCATGTGATGCATCCAGCCTGCGGGTCAGGAATTTGACAGCCCTGTTCTATTATCTCCAAGGACTTGAAATAGATATCTAACATTAGAATCATCGTTTAAAAAGCAAAGAACAAAGAATGTTCTTCCTACATCAACTCAGAAAGCTCAGATTACCCAAGAATCTGCTGATACAGTTCTACAGAAGAATTATTGAGTTTATCACATGTATCTCAATAACTGTCTGGTTTGGCACAGTGACCAACCAGGACATGTTACAGACTTCAACAGAGAACTGCAGAAAAAAACAACTGCAACTAGCCTGCCTTCCACTGAGGATCTGTATATTGCACAAATCAGAAAGAGGGCTGAGAAAATAACTATAGATCCTCCTAGAATCTGTATGGGTCAATATAAAAAGAAAAAAGAATGACATTTCTATAGGCATATACTACTATTCAACAAGCAGAAGAAACAGATGAACTTTTAGCTAAACAACTAACAAATATATGTAGGAAACAACATGGCAGTAATGAGAGACTTAGCTACCCTTATATCAACTGGGAGACAAACTGTGCAGCAAGTGGAAGATTGAACAGATTCCTAACCAACTTAGCAGACAACTTTATCATCCAAAAAATAGAGGGAACTATAGGAAAAGTTCAACTGGACCTAATTCTTACTAATAGCAAAGAAATGATAGAGGGTGTTGAAATTGCCAGAACTTTGGGTGAGAGTGACCACAGCATACTGGAATTCAATATAATGCAAACATAAGTAATAAAACATAATCCAGCCAGTGTCTTAAACTTTAAAAGTTTAATTACAAACACACTGATTTATAAATCCTAAACATCCAAGTTAACTGGAGTGGCATCCCTCTATATCTTTAACAATGCTTAAGATGTTGCACAAATTGTCACTGACCTGGTTCACATATGCCAACGCTGGTTTGTTTGGATTTCATCTCCAATCCAATTGTATTCATATAACATAATTCATGGGTTTGTTTGTGAAAGTTCAGCTTTAGTAATTGGACTTAATGTATAATAAACAGTCCTAATTGATTTGCTCATTTGGAGTTTAGTGTATTGTATGAATTTAGGTTATTTGTATTCTCGAACTTAAAAAGCAGATCTAATTCACATATTGCATATTCTTCACTGAAAGTAAATATTCCTTACTATTAGTTTTTTTCAAAGATGATATTCCAATTTAACAAATATCAAGGTTGATATGACAGTTAAAACCTGGTTTTTTAGTTCAGCATGTTAGAATGTAGGAGTGATTTCTAAGCCATGATTTACTCTTATATGTGAATTATAATTGCTTTTGTGGGAAGGAATACTCCACTGTAATGCAACGAATGAATGAATAACACCATGTATAAACACAATGCATGTTATAAGTTGAAATTGCAGACATTACAGCCACAACATGCAAACTGCTTATTTGCCGCCTTTGATTTTTTTTAAAGCAAGAAAGAATTCTGGACATATTGTACCTTTCGTGACATTTAGATTAATAAAACGATTGTCCACCTCTGCCTGTCATTCGTTTTCTTTGTAGGACTAAGTTGCATTCACGCGATATTTCAAGCCACATGCTGCTTTGATTTGTGTCCTGCTGTGATTTGCAAATCAGGTTTAGCGTGCTGTGCAAAGTCATGGAATTCCGGTTTATTTTATTACAAAATGGGTGCACGCGCGAACTCTTTCCGCTCTTTTTCATCCCCGTCCTCTGCCTGTCGGTGTTCATTTCAAAGGACAAGGAAAGATGACCACGATGTGTAACAGCTTTCCCGTTATTATGCAAAACACGGGCGCGACCTACGGGCACCGCAGACCAACGCAACGGAAAGCACGTGACGTCACTTCCTCTAGCGCAAGCGCGTGGGGGTTACCGGGGAAGGTCGTTCTTGGGGGAGGGAAGTGGGAGGTCGCCGCGATTGGTGGCGGAGCGGTCAGCTGCTGCCGGCGCTGCAGAACGGGCGTGTCGCTTTCTTCCCCGGAGCGCGATTCCGTCGAGGGAGGGGAGCTTTCCGGAGCAGAAGGTTCCTTTTCTTTCCATTCCCTCTCTGGCCTCCGAGGGTCTTTGGGCGGAGCTGACATCTGTGCTTGACCAAAAGATTTTTCCCCCCTCCTCGGAGAGCAATTACTGTTTCGGTGAGCCTCTCGGCGACAAAAGGGTTCTGGTTCATTCATACCTTTAAGCCGGTTCCTCCGCAGTGTGTGTTGTTGCCTTTGCAGCCAAAGATGGGAAATAGTGCCGGCTATTTCCTTCCCTTCGCATTGATTCTGTTGGTTTCTGTGTTGTGTTATTTGTATTTCAGCTTTATTCATATTAACCCAAGCGACGTCCAACTGATTCTATTTAAGCGTCAGCTTTCCGTATGTTTTCCCAAGGTTGCAATTAGAAAAATATGTCGATGGTTAATAGTCTTGAGATTTATTCGTTGGCTGTTCTTGCCTTTAATTTAGAATAAAGCTGCATTTAGCTATTTATATTCTGCCCAGGAAATGTTCTTCTTGATAAATTTTTTAATTGCTGGGATTTATCTGTCATTATAATAAGAGAGAAAAAAGGAGATTAAACGGTCAAAGGAGGATATCAGATATTTTGTTCTTGCCCTTTAAGTTTCCTTTTGTTCTTGCCCTTTAAGTTTTGCCTCTTTTGGTTTTAATATGGATAATCTTAACATGCAGATTTTCTACAATTTAGTTCAGATTCCAGTTAAAGATTTCCACAATGATTTGGTGAAAATATTTGAGTGCTATTAACATACTTTAAATGTAATAAATATAAAATTCATCAGCATGACCCTCAGATTTGGAGATGATTGGGAAATCAGAGCACATGCTTGGGTGAGATACCACATGAGGACATGAGCAAGAGTTTATCTCACTGCATCCATAAGAGCGAAGTCTCTGCAAATAGAGTCCCATGAGATTTCCCAGCCAGTACATTTACCAGATTACTGAATGTGATATAATCAAATGAAAAGAACCCTCTCCTTGTGAGACTGGAGATTGCTATGTCAAATAAGTTCCAAGTCACTTTTGAATAACTGTGCAGGTTTGAAATGATAGTTTATTAAAATGCTTATCTTTCAATTAGGTAACCCTCCCACCCATTTTCATTCTGTTACCAGTTTCCAACCAGTATTCCTTCTTCCCAAACCCCATGTTTTCTTTGTCGTGCTCTTAGTGTAATTGCTGTAACTACAGGAACAGAAAGAGGGAACTAAAACTAATCCAGCCACATCATGACGAAGCATGCTGTATGAATAAGACCAATAATTCTTTTGCTGTATCTTAGGAGTCTTAACTTCTCAGACTGGGTTGCCATATCATACAATTTTTACAGGGCAAAGACCAAGCTCCAAAGTATAGGTTGCTTTTTATTTCTTTCCTTAACTATTTTAATATTGTACATTAATATTTTATTCACATTTATTAGTTTTCTATAATAAAAAAATTCCCTGCCAAAAATAAAACTTCTTTGTTTTTTCCTTCATAATCATGACACACTGAGATTGTTTTCAGCATTTTATTAGTTTAGTAGTCATTTGAAGTTACAACAGTATTGAAAAAAAGACTTATGACCATTTTCACTCTTATGACTATTGTAGCATCCCCATGCTTACATAATCAAAATTCGGATACTTGACAACTAGGCATAGATTTATGATAATTGTAGTGTCTTGGGCTCATGTGATCATCTTTTGCAACCCCTTTTTCCTTCCTGCTTAACTTGAAAGTCTAGAGCAGTGTTTGCATAATTGTAAACTAAGCCAAGATTTGTTATAGCACAGTGTTATTGAACAAGACTGTAATATTTAACTTTACAGTGTTATATGTATCAACCAATTGGAATTTATTGACTCAATCATTTAATAAACCATGAATCCAGAGACTCACTTCACAGAGCATCTTTAGCTAAAATGTGGTTTATTAATATGTATAAATCTAGATAATTAATTAATATTCCATACTCTGTGCAAACCCCAGCATTATCTCTTAAGGTAGTAAACAATGGATGTATTAACCATTGGTTAGTTACTAGTGTTATTACAAATTAGTAAAATCAATTCTAAGTTTATTTTAGCTTAGTTTCTTTTGTTAATATCCAAAGCATATTCCTTCAAATCCAGCGTTGTCAAAATACATTATTTTTGTATTTGTGAATGTGCTTTTGGTTTGTTGAAGGATTTGTTTAGACTTGAAGAATTACCATGCAATTAAGGTTTTGTGTGTGTGTGAATCCAGCCATTGAACTTTGGAAACAATAGTGTGTGGCTTAGTATGCTGTATGAATCCAGCTATTTATATTCTTTCAGTAAACCATGACTTACCATGATATGTCAACATTGTTTAGAATTTGAGGTTTTTTTAATGGGCTGGAGGTTTGTTCAAGTTTATCGTTTTTGTTTATGTGCAGTATTGTGTTCACATGGTTGTCTTTTTGGTGTAAACTGTACTTATATAAATGTCCTTGTGTAGAGTCATGTTATCCATATATTGGTTTTAATGGGCTGTATATTCTTGATTCTTTAAGATGTCGACATATAAATCTGTTTTTTTATGCAAGTTTATTGTGCAAGGAGATGGTAATATGTTTCAACAGTATTTATAGTTTTTGTATTGTACTTTCATAGTGTCTGTGATTTAATAAAGATCCATGTTGTCCATGTTGAATATTTTTGAGCATCAGTGGTTTCCCTTCTGTGACTTGGATATTTTGTTACCTTTTGTGGAATATTTGGAAATTCCAAATCCCATTGGATTCTTAAGGAGCAACGTTTTTCAACCTTGGTAGTATTTAAGATATGTGGACTTCAACATATTGGCTGGGGGAATCTGGAAATTGGTCCACACATCTTAAACTTGCTGAAGTTGAAACTATGGAGTAACAGGTTTGTTGAATATCAGAGCCTATTGCTGGGTTTAGAAATGGTAACTTCACTTCCATGTCCCTCTTATTTAATTTAGTTCCCAAGATACTGATTAGATTATGGAATATTTTTTTACAGAATTCTTTTCTTAATTTGGCTTTGGAAAACTGACCTTGATGGTACCATAGTTTATCATTTAGTAGAATGGAACATCGCAGTCAGAGTATCAGACTGATGGAGATCACGCCTGGATGTTTCACCATTAATCATTTTTTCTCTTTTAACTAGTTTGTGTCAGAGGTGGGAAGAATGAATAAATCAGCATGATTATTTATGGTCTCTTGAGAGGTAGCTGTCAAGTATCTAATACTGTATTCTAAGTGTTTTTTTTTAAATGTAAACATGGTAGCATTTCAGCAATACACATAGTATGAAATTCAAACAATCCATTGTACTAGACGAAAAATAATTCTGAAGAAATTCTAGTATGGTAAAACTTCTTTAACCCATAGCTTTACTAAACACATCAAAAGTATGTCATCTAAAATGACCAAAAAACAGTAGCAATTATATTCCCCCCACCCCCGAAGTATATTCCAGGAGCACTGAAGTTACATTTAGCAAAGGCTCATGTACAATTACATTTTTGCACATTTGTTAAAACTACTCTTTTCCTCTACAAGTTTGAGTCCTCTCCTCATAGAAGACAATTTTGAATCAATATAGTTCAGGACCATCTCAAAAAAACCTGCAGTATCTTGGTTTCTCCAGAGAAGTGCTTTTGATGATGGGATATGAGTGTGCAAAGATCTGGAAATCCAACAAGATTGGGCTGCTCTTCCCACACATGTTTATTGGAGCAATCAAATTCCCCCTTTTAAAGCAGTGAGATATTTATATCAAACAACTGTCCCAAAAATACAAAGGGCATTAACCTTCATGTGCTGCAACACATTTCCCACAGCAGATTGAGAGGGCCAATACAAAAAGAATACTATATGAGCTGCGATTGTGCCCCTGTGGACAAGGAACCATACAGCTCACATCCTGCTATACTGCATTTTCTCTAAGGGCTCAGGGACTCAATTTATAACATATTACCTAATAAAATATCTTGGAAATACTGATCTTTTTTACAGGGTAACTACTGTTATAAGATCAGTATTAGTAGTTTTTCGGAATGTGGCCAAATTCTGTTATGATGTATGTAAAATTAGGCAAACTTCAACTGCCCACTGTAAAACCACCAGCAAAAGCAATATTTTATTCTGTCTGTCTTTTATTTTTTTTACTTTTGTTTTAATGCTCTTATTTGTAATGCTAGTCTGTGACTATGACCATAATAAAAATTGATTGATCTCCTTTAAACATGCCAGGGAGTCTGCTTTGTAATCTTCTTAATGGATGTCTAGTATTTCAAAGTATTTCTCATTTCCATTTAATATAGGTTGATTTTTGAAAGAAGTTTCTAAAATTGAAATTATTTTAAATAGTAACAATCCACAGTTACCTTCTAATAACTTTAAAAAGTTCATATCACATGACTACCAGAAAACTTGAATTTTCTCACAATTGTAAATTTTAATAAAGAAATAGTATAAAATATACAGTGTCAATATATTCTAAATACATAGAATTAAGTAAAATTCTGAGAGAATGAAGTCAAGACCCAAGAACTTAAAATGGAGAAAAATGCTTATATGTTTTTATATTACAGTTCTCAAACTTAAATTTTGTTTTAGTTTTATAGTACATAGTACAGATTTGCTATGTTAAAGCAAGGTTATATTAATTACAAAATTTTAATTTATAAATATAGGTACCGTGTTTCTCACAAAATAAGGCTGGGCCTTTTTTTTTTTTGACCCCCGAAAAAATGGCTAGGCTGTCTTTTCAGGGGCGACTTAATTTCCCCCCCTTGCATCCTCGGGTGAGTGGGCAGCGACAGCTTGGATGTTGATCTCGGCATTGGTGGGGCACTTCGTATCGGGAGACCTTCCGCCACCATTGCTTTCCCTTCTCCCTTGCTGCCGTGGCGTTAGAGCAACGCCACGGTGTTAGGCGCAGCCACGTGCGGCCAGTCAGGGCTCCTCCCTGCAACCAGAGCCCTGTGGAGACACTTGGCTTCAGGCTCTCCTGTCTCCGCCTTCCCTTTGCCTTCGAAGGTAAAGCCAATTATTTTAAAAATGACACCCTACTACAACAAAGCCTCCCCTGCCCGAGAGGGAAGCCCAACCCCATGTAGGGAGACAAATCTCCCAAGGCCGCAGT